ATTTATTTCATTACTACACTTTTCACTTGGCTGTGCTTGACCAAACAGACACTATTATCTAAACCAGCAGATCCCAATTATTTTTTCCTGTTGAACCCTTTGACATCTGCCAACATCGTAGAACCCTCCAAAAATGTGGTGCCATATCACAAACATTTTAATTAGCAAAGTGTAATGTTTTCATTTTTTTTTAGCAATTTTTTTTTTTTGGTATACGTACACTAATTTCTACAGATAGTAAACAGATTGTAGTACTTAGGTGCAGGTGTGCTTTTGTGTGTAAAGTTTGTGTTTGTATATAATTTCAGTATTTTAATACAGGGGTGTGTTTGTATGTAATGTTTGCATTTGCGTGCAGGGGTTTGTTTGGATGTAGTGTAGGCTTTTAAATGTGGATGAACATTTGTATGTAGTATTGTTGTTTGTTTGTATATAAATTTGGAGTTTAAATTCAGGGGTGTTTTTGTATGTAATGTTTGGGTTTGCAGGGGTGGGTTTGCATGTTGTGCTGTTGTTTGATTGCTGGGATACACTGCCACATATACTTACACAGAAATACATACACATTAACACACACTCGGATAGACACAGTGACACATACACACACCTTGAAACACAGATACACACACTGGCATATACACATGAATTCAGATAGACACAGTGACACATACACACACCTTGACACACAGATACAAACACTGTCACACACACACTTAGATACACACAGTGACATACATAAAACGTAAAGGAAAATACAGGCAACACTCCAAATTCTGAAGTTGTATTTATTGGAGGGTAGGACACCCCATAAAAGTGCAAAAGTGCAATGTTTCGAACTTCTAGAGCCAAAACGTCCCACTTCTGCACTTTTATGGGGTGTCCTTTTCTCCAATAAATACACCTTCAGTGATTGGAGTGTTGCCTGTATTTTCCATTATTCTGTATCCTTGGAAGGTATAGCAGTGTTTGTCTTAATGTAGAGCACCTCTGAGGCTGTAGGGCGGATCAAATAGCAAAATCTGAGTGCAGGGGTATTGTTTTCTGACATACACACACCTTGACACACAGATATAAACAATGGCACACACACACCGATACACACATACTGACATGTACACACACAGATTATTATTATATTATTATTTATATAGCACCAACAAATTCCGCAGCTCTTTACAGTGGGTGGACGAACAAACATGTAGTTGTAACCAGACAATTTGGGCACACAGGAACAGAGGGGTTGAGGGCCCTGCTCAATAACCTTACATGCTAGATGGAGAGGGGTAAAGTGACACAAAAGGTAAGAATAGTATTAGACTAATGACAGCTGCAAGAGAAGAATCAGTCGGGAGCTATTAACAGTTTAATTGATGCGCCTTTATGAAGAAATGGGTTTTTAATGATTTTTGGAAGGAGTAGAGACTGGGTGAGCATCTAACGGAGGAGGGAAGTGCGTTCCACAGGAACGGTGCAGCCCTCGAGAAGTCTTGAAGGCGAGCATCAAAGGTGGGAGTACAGTCAGAAGATAGACATAAGTCTTCAGCAGAGCATAAGGGCCTAGACGGGAAATACTTGTGTATTAAGGAGGGAGCAGCATTATGTAGAGATTTGAAAGCAAGAACCAGAATTTTAAATTGAGCCCTATATCTTACAGGAAGCCAATGTAGAGACTGATACAAGGGGGAGTCGTGGGCAATGCGGGCGGAGAGGAAGATGAGCCTCGCCGCCGCATTCATTATGGACTGTAACGGAGCAAGTTGGGAGCACGTAAAACCACTGAGAAGTGAATTACAGTAGTCAAGGCAAGAAAGGACAGTGGAATGGACCAGCACCTTAGTCGCATCTGGCGTTAAGTAGGGTCGGATACACACACTGGCACATACACACACTTAGATACACACACACATAAACTCTGATACACATACACACACCTTGACATACTGACACAGATACACGCACACTCAAATACACACATTGACTCACAGATACACACACTGGCATATACTCAGATACACACAGCCATACACACATTTGCACACACGCACACTGACACACACACACACACACACACACACAATCTGACATACATAAACACATACATATTAAAATGTTTGTATTTGCAGCCACCCTCCTTACCTTACCTTTGTGTCCAGGAGGGTGGCTAATCTAAACTATGGGTATTCAACCTTTGGCACCCCAGATGTTGTGGACTACATCTCCCGTGATGCTTTGCCAGTATTATGACTGTAAGGGCATTAGGAGAAATGTAGTGCTATTTCTTCATCAATCTATTGTTCCTGTAACATATTGTAATCATCTCATTTATTGTTAAATTTCTCCCTTTATAATATTTTAAAGCGCTGCAGAATAAGTTGGTGCTATCTAGACTATAGACTGTAAGCTAGTTTGAGCAGGGTCCTCTTCAACTTATCGTTCCTGTAAGTTTTCTTGTAATAGTCCTATTTATAGTTAAATCCCCCCTCATAATATTGTGAAGCACTATGGAATCTGTTGGCGCTATATAAATTTCAATAATAATAATAATAATATATAAATGCCAATAATGATATTGGAGTGCTTGAAGCAGCACTGTCATGCCGAACTTACCTTTCCCCAATTGCTTCCTCTTATCTTCCTCTCTCAGGATCTGTTCTTTCTAACTGATCTAGTTTTCTTTAAAACATACAAGAGACTACTTTGTCTTATGTATTTTTGTTATGCTTGACCAGCTTTGACTCACTTCCTGTGGGTCAAAGGAATATTCCCACAATACTCACCCTTTCCTTCATGATCTTGCGATGCCCCTTTTCACTATTCCTGAACGCGCTGTCATTTAGACAGGACACCAGCAAAACTACCAAATTTCATCCTAACAGAATGAGTACAGTTTGTCCATTCGAGTTAGGACGAACATCGGTACTTTCTGTTTGAAAAGGAATTTCATTCAAATGAATGAAATTCCTATCTGATCCGTGCCGCCATTGCATTTAGCAGCCACTCAGTAGATAGCTCCCTACTTCCCACGGTATCAGGAAGCTATCTACTAAAAGATACTGTTGTAAAGAAGAAAAAAAAGACCCCCCACTCCTATGCAAATAATTAATGGGGGGGGCCTAGGGGACCCCCGGCCCCAACCCATGAGCGGCTGTGGGGGCAAAAAGTAACAAAGGTGGGGACCTATTGTTCCCCCCTTGCCTCCCAGTCACGAGTGGCCGGTTGGGGCCCTAAGTCTCCTCCCCTGGTCCCCACCCACGAGCAGCGAGTAGGGGCCAAAAGTAACAAAAGAGGAGGGGGGTTAAAAAAAAAACTGATGCCGCCATGACAGTGCTGCTTTAAGGTTGCCTGCATGTTCACCCCACACTGTTTTGTTTTTTTACTTTCACTTATCTGGAAAGATAATTCTGTAGCTGGATAGAGTATATAATGCATTTTTTTTATTTTGTGGTCACCAGAATTGTGTTTATGACTGTGCTGACACGAATAAGAAGTTACAATATTGCCTGGCCTAATGGCTATTCAGTATCATTTTTGCTGTACCAATTCTGAGTTGCCAAAATTAGATTATTATATCTCTGCATTAAAAAAAATAGGTGAGCTAATCAATAGAACTTTACTTTTTATATAATGTATTATATTTCATACATTATTATGTATACATTAATATAATGATTGTCTTTTTCCTTTTGCTAACACGCATTAATGAAAAATGGGGAGCAGCTGCAGCAGGAGTCATTTTAAGTTGAAAAATGCGAACCCTGACAAGAACAAAGCTTTTCCATGCATTCAGCTTGTAGCATCCTTCGTATGGAAAAAAAATAGTGCACTGCAAGCAGCAAGAGTAATTTAATATAAAAAAGATGATATTTCAAAAAATGAAAAGGTGGAACGAGTGAGTGGTTCATCAATTGCCCACTCACTTTTTCCAATATTTTTTTTGAAAAATCACCTTTTTTCAATTATATTACTCCTGCTGCAGATGCTTCAACTTTATTAAAATGCCTTTTGATGTAGTGGTTTCAACCTTTTTTGGGCTGCGACTCACAGTGCCTGCTAACTCTATAAATAGAGTTGGTACAATCTGATGATAGCACACTGTTTCTTTCCACACTGAAAGACAGTCAATGATGCTCCTGACTGGAATTATAGAAAGGTTTGTTCTTCTTAGGGTGGAAGGGTTGAGTCTATAGTCAATTGCCCATGCCCACTTATCTTTTCCTAAGAAAGACATGATCATCCTTTAGTATGGAAAAAAAACAGTGCTTTGTCTGTTTCTTCCAATTGCGTTCGCAGAGGTATCAGGCATAGCCATACTGCAAGACTTGGGTAGGCAGAGTGATGCCACTACAATCAAATGCATTTGAAAAAAGGGGCAGTCATTTATTTATTTATTTTTAGGTGAGGTGAATAATAGGATGCTCAACACCACACATGTTAGAGTATGTTTTTTCTACCAAGAGTACTAAAAAACACCTGCCACACTCAGAGAAGGCAGGGTTAGGTTATGAGTAGTAAATCAATATGGGTGTAGTAGCTGGTAGTAGTAGCTACGAAAGGTTAACTTTTTGTCAGCCTGGTGCCTCCAGTCAAGATGAACTATTCCACAATATACAAATTAATAATCAACCAACCAGGCTTTGAGGATATAGTAGGTAAGGAAACAATTGTATAATGATATTCATACATTGTGTCATGGAAATAGAGACAGACAATAAAGAGCAAGCTGAAGGGAGAGACAAAGATGGGAACAAATACTGGGCAGAGGGGATGTGTAGATAGAATGAGTGGCTGGAAAAAAAAACTGGCATGTAACGGAAGAGAAAGTGTGGAGAAGATTGAGGACCAGATGGAGAAAGATACTGGCGGTAGGAAAATAGATGGTGCAGATGTTGAGGCACTGGTGAATGATGAATACTTACTTACTAACTTATGCCATCCATCCCTCCTGGGATATGAGCCGCCAAAGGTAGATCCCCAGAGAATTTTGTCATGGGCCATCCTTTCTAGTTGACTCCAGGTGTAGCCCATCCTTGTGATATCTGCCTCGAGGTCGCGTCGCCAGGTGTTTCTTGAACGACCTCTCTTCCTCTTTCCTTGGGTGTTTCACCTGAGAGCCTGCCTGGTGATGTTGGCAGTTTGTGTAGAGTATGCCCTATCCAGCCCCATCTTCTCTTCCAGATTACTGCCTCTGCTGAAAGTTGGCAGGTCCTTTCCCATAGGTTGGTATTACTGACGGTGTCTGGCCAGCGAATGTGGAGAATCCTTCTAAAACAGCTGTTGATGAATGTCTGGATTCTTTTGTTGGTGTTTTTGGTTGTCCTCCAGGTTTCAGCCCTGTACAGCAGTACTGACTTCACATTGGAGTTGAACAGTCGGATCTTGATAGTCAAGGTTAGCTCTCTGTAAGCCCATATGTTCTTGAGCTGGATGAAGGCAACTCTTGCTTTGCCGATCCTTGCCTTGACATCTGCATCTGTTCCACCTTGCTGTTCGATGATTATGCCCAGGTAGGTGAAGAACTGTACTTCCTCCAGGGGACTTCCATTCGGGATGATTGGGTTGATGTTGCTGAAGTTGGTCTTAAGGATCTTGGTCTTCTCCTTGTGGATGATGAGTCCAACTTGTGCTGATGTAGCTGCCAACACACTGATCTTCTCTTACATCTGCTGCTGGCTGTGGGAGAGAAGTACAAGGTCCTTCGGCAAAGTCCAAGTCATCCAGTTCACTCCACATGGTCCACTGGATTCCATTTCTGTGTTTGCTGGTGGATGTCTTCATGATCCAGTTGATGGTGATGAGGGAGAGGAATGGGGATAACAAGCATCCTTGTCGGACTCCAGTCTTCACATGGAAGCTGTTGGTAAGCTGTCCTCTGTGGATCACTCTGGAGGTCATTCCTTCGTATGAGCTCTTGATCAGGTTGAGCACCTTGGCTGGGATGCCGTTATGCTGGAGGAGCTTCCGTAGGACCTCTTGATCCACACTGTGAAATGCCTTCTCATAGTCGATGAAGTTAATGTACAGCGATGAGTTCCACTCCAAGTACTGCTCGACTACGATGCACAGTATTGCAATCTGGTCCATGCATTATCGATTCTGCCGGAAGCCTGCTTGTTCATATGATAGTTGTGGATCAACGACGTCCTTCATCCGCTCTAGGAGGATCCAGTTGAAGACCTTGCCTGGCACTAACATGAGTGTGATACCTCTGAAAGGTCACCTTTCTTTGGAAGCTTGATTAGATAACATTCCTTCCAGTCAGTCGGTATCTCTTCTTCCTCCCAGATCTTTTGATGATTCCAGGTCTGCTTTCAGGGCCACTCCTGGTATGTCATCAGGTCCAGCTGCCTTCCTGTTCTTCATTAGGCCTTTCCGATCTCTTCTCTAGTCGGCTTGCCGCAGTTGAAGGGGAGATCTTCATTGGCTGGGTGGATGTCTGGTGGATTTGGTGGTGCTGGTCTGTTCAGGAGCTCCTCGAAGTGTTCAGACCATCTATTCATCTGCTGCGCTAGTCATGTGATGACCTTTCCCTCCTTGTCCTTGACGGGTTGTTCTGGCTTGCTGTACTTCCCAGCCCGTGTATACCCATGGCTTGTTCATATCCTGTGTTGTCGGGTCCAATCTTGGCATTGAAGGGATGACGATGTCTCTGGCTCGGAATGTCTCTACGACTTTCTGCAGTCTATTGTAAAACTCGTCCTTGTCTTCTTCATCGCAATCATTGGTTGAAGCATAACTCTGGATGACATTGAGCTTAACCTTCTTCTGCTTGGTTCTGAAGGATGCTGTGATGATTCTAGGGCCGTGTGCCTCCCATCCAATCAGTGCCCTTTGTGCTTGCTTGGACAACATAAAGCCTACTTCCTGCGTGTGGGGTGCGTCACTCTCTTTCTGCCCGGAGTAAAGCAATACCTCTCCTGTTATCAGTCTCCTCTGTCCTGTTTGTGTCCATCTGGTTTCGCTGATGCCCAGTATAATCATGTTGTTCTTCTTCATCTCGGCAGCTACCTGCTTCATCTTGCCTGTCCCGTACATGGTCCTAACATTCCATGTGCCGATGTGGGTTCTCCTGGTCGACAGAAGGGTAATTGGCTTGGTGGTTTCAATTTGGATTTCACAACCTATCGTCATGTATCTCCGAATTGTCGGAGGTCCTCCATCTTCCTGGAAATTAGTATCTGTTTCTCTTTTTGGTGTTTCTGTAGCGGTTGAAGTTTTTCCAGGGTGAGGTTGTTAGCCCCACACCCAAGCCTCCTCCTTTTTTCATCCGGGCTTGGGACCGGCAATGACGGAATTGAATCATGAATACGTTTTAAAAAAATATAGAGGAAGAAATACACTGGGGAGAAGTATAGAAATACTGTTGTATTTTTAAGAACGACATTGAGTGGGACATACATGGAAAGGTTGTAGCTGGAGAGAGACAATTGCAGAAAACTCTTGGAGGATGATTTGTTGGAAATAGACTGAGAAGGAAATGGAGATATGAAGTTGAGGGTTAAGTTGGAGAAATTGGATATGAGAAACATGAGAGGAGATGCAGTGCAAGCATGGAACAGATTAAAGGGCACTTGAAAGAGGTTGTGAGACATTAGAGTGTGGGGAGAAATACTGTAATATATAAGAATAGCGATTGGAGTAAGATATGGAGAGGCTATGTAATGGACAAAACCAAAGGAGAATGAAAAGATAGAGAAACAGTAGAGGATGATGGAAAGAGACTGGGAAAAGATGAAGATAGACGTTAGTGGAAACAATAGACATCTTGAGTGATTGAAAAAAATACCAAGTAGAATCTAGAAAAAGATAGTAAAGAAAGTTATATAGAAAAGTTTTTTTTTATAAATGCAAAGAGACCAGAAGGGAAATGCTGAGTAGAGGTGGAGGGTGATAGTAAAATAGTAGGCATGTAATTATAGACTTGGTTCTTCCAAATTGATATGGTTCAGATTTTTAATATTTTGCAGTGATAAAGAATATTGATTGAACATGTTTTTGATTCAATTCAATATTGCAGATTGTTTCAAAAGATTTCTAAAATAAGGGGAAAAGGGTTCCTATTTGATAACAAAAATAAAAACAATGGTTATGAAGAATTTTGATTGAAATTTGATTTGAAATAATTAGATTTAAAAGGACACCAAATTGGTGGAAATTCTACCAAATATCAGTTCTGAGGAAATGGAATGTCCTTTATAATTATTTTTATCAATGCTATCTTAAAATTTACTAAGTACCTACACCTAGAAGATTCTTCTAGAGGTCGAATGCTATGTACAATGGAGTTTATCCACAAATAAATAGTTGAAACCAGGCATATGTAAATAATACAATATTTGCACTGATGTCATGTGAGAACAATATACTGATAAACCTTTTGTAAAGTTCGGAGATAATACTCCACTCACCAGTTTCCATGAAAGACGCCCGGCTGGGAAGCTTTAAACCTTGATGCCCATGAAGAAAACAATATGTCCTAATAAATTAATATCAAAATTCATAGAAAGTACAACAAATTGACCCCCAATTACCTTTCAACTGCACTTTCAGAGATTTTTGTTCGAAATGTAAGGGGTTGAAAAAAATCCCAAAAAAACATCAAATATTTGACAAAATAAGCAGAAGCCTCACAAAATTACTTAGTATACTATGATGGGGACAAGAGTAAGAGTAAGTAACATGCATTCAATGAGCAGAGGTGGCTGCGGGATTGGGTTGAACAGAATATTAGTAATGTTACATGAGGGTGCCAATGAGTTGTATCTCTGGGCACCTTTTGAGCTTTTCCTCAGTGACTCTAATTGCAACCGGTATTCCTGAGAAACGTACTATTCTTCTGAAAGAATTCTCCCGCTAATAGGTGGATGTATGTTTTAGACAGTATACCCACTTCAGGGCTGATGCTGCCCCTACCTTAAGGTCTATACTCAGGGGGTTGCAATCTTACTTTTGAAAAAAATTCAGTAATTTAAATGATCCACAAGGCAGATTTTTATTTGTAGAGGGACACATAGGAAATGTATTGTTCACTTTTTCGAACGTATGTGCTCGAAACTGAAACCTGGTCCCATTTATCAAACAAACTTTAAAAGGAAATTAGAAGATTTCAGGGAGGGGATATTGGTGTTGGTAGGGACGTGATACTTCATCAACGTCAACTATTGCAAATGGTTGTTTACTCCTATCGGCTGGTGGATTGCTGGCACATGCTCTTAATACTCTCACACCGCCCACAGATACTCCAGACTAAACATGATCTTCCACTCCCACAGACACCTACATACCTTAACCAAAACCTCAATTATCAGCATCGCCTGGTCCAACCACACCCCAATCTTTATTTCTTTGTCCCTAGAGGTAATAACTTCATCATATCCACAATGGTGATTAAACCAGACCCTGTTGGATGACACCAGAGTAGTGGAGGATGTACATAAGCTGTTATCTTTGCACTTTAATGAAAAATGGTGAGGTCACTTCACATCTCCCTGGATATGGAAAAAAAATTCCCTAACCCAGAACATACATCAAGCGGAATTGGCACATATAGCCAATCCAACACAAGATTTATTTAACAAATATATAGCTCTTAGGATGCAGCTCCAGCAAATTCTAAATCTAGGAGCACATATTCCACTCTGGAATAATGAGGGTCCTAAAACAAAGACACCAAGCCTCCTTCACATCTAATATTACCGAAGTAGGAGGTGCCCTCCAAACAACAATTGTGAAAATAGCAGAATCCTTCTGCTCCTTTTATTAGTCCCTTTGGGGTCAGTTTAATTGTGTGGTGAGCTCCTCAAGAGTGAAGGGTCCATCTTGCATGATAGAATCGACTGGGGAGACAGTCTGTCCAAGGTTGGTATTTATATATTTGAGCATAGCCTCTCTCTATGGAGGGTTAAGAGAGAGGATATACTCAAATATATCAAATACACTGTAGAGTATAGCCACATGGAAGCACCTAAAGTGGTATTTGATCAAACAAGTATAATCTCCAAGACATCACCCCACTCAATTGCAATGTTGAGATATACATGTTCCTGCATGCACACCATGGAAAGATTATATGACTATTTGTTTATATTTTGCTATAATTTTCAATCTGAATGTTATAAAATTTACAAAATACATGACACTTATGGATACCAAGACCTTTGATCCAATATCCCACTGCACTATACGTATGATTATTACCATTTATAATTATTATTGTTCTATGTATTACTTGTCACTAGGATGTGTCAAGTTGTCTTGAAACCATTAAAAAGTGATTGGTGTCATGCAAAAATAAAGAATTTAATAAACTGGCTTTGAAAGGGAAAAGCCCTGGCCCAGATGGCCTTACACCCAGATACTAAATCACCTTTCTGCCCCATCTTGTAAAATACTTTGTTGATACATTCAACTTTCTCGCCCTGAGATGCTCCCTGCACACCCCTCTAAATGCTACTTGCCTCTATCACAGTTTCCCGAAGGATTATCTAAGAAGGATTCCACCAAGTGCGGTAGTTATAGGCCAATTTCCCTTAAACTCTTTGCTAAAATGCTGGCTCTCTGCCTTAAGCCCCTCTGATCTGGCAGGGTATGTACCAGGTTTGTACCAATACTACTAAAATACTCAATATCATACATGGAGACAACATCATTAAATGGCCAACACTTAAATGTAGAAAAAGCCTTTGACAGAGTGGACAGGTCCTATCTCTTCTATATTTTGGAGGCATTGGAGCTTGGGGTAAGATTCCAGTCAGAGTTACTTTTCCCCAACCTTTTCAATTGGCAAAAAAAGGATGCCCTTGTTATTTACAGTGGTGACTCTATGAATAATATATAGGGGAGAATATAAGATACCACTGTCAAAACTGGTGGGGAACTAATAACTTCCACCACTAAATTATACAACTAAAAAAAAATGAAATGTGTGTGTGTGTGTGTGTATGTGTGTAAGCAGTGACAATGTGTGTGTAGGGGTTTACAGTGTATGTGGGGGTGTAACAGTGTGTGTGTAGGGTTGACAGTGTGTGTGTGTATGTGTGTGTGTTTGTGTAAGGGGTGACAATGTGTGTGTAGAGGGTGACTGTGTGTGTGTGTGTGTGTGTGTGTGTGTGTGTATGTGTGTGGGTTGGGGGTTACAATGTGTGTTTAGGAGGTGACAGCATATGGGTATGGGACTGACTGTTTGTGTAGTGGAGTGACAGTGTGTGCATGTGTGTAGTGGGGTGACAGTGTATGTGTGTGGGTGACAGTGAGTGGGGGGTGACAGTGAGTGGGGGGATGACAGGTGTGTGAAGGGGTAACAGTGTGTACGTGTGTGTGGAGGGTTGGCAGTGTGTGGGGTGGGAGGGTAATACTGTGTGGAATGACAGGTAGGTTGGAGGGAGGGGTGACACTACAGTGTTTAAGGAGGCTGTTTCAGCGAGCAGCCTCCCCACACTAAAATAATTTTTGTTTTAAAGAAATCTGTTCCCTGGTGGTCCAGTGGCCATGATATTCAATCTGCAGCTCTGCCAGGTGCAGAGCTGCAGACCATGTGTCTTGCCAGGGCCCATCTAGGCTGGCAGGCAGGCTGGCAGCTGTGGTTAGCCGGCTGGCTGCCTCTGGTAGTGCCGGCTGGTTGGCAGGCCTCTTTCGTCAGGTGTCTGTTTCTACCCTGTTTTATATTTTTACACAGACAAACTAAACAGCATTGCACAATACATTTTCACTCTATTAATTACAATAGCAACAATCAACAACAACAAAATACACATGGAACTCAAGAGTTAAACTATATTCCAAATGAGGCAAATCAGATAATTTATACAGGTGCATATCATTGTATCTAGGTGTTTCTTTGCTTATACTCTTTTAATATGATACAGTGTTTATTATTCCCAACATCTCATCCATCAATCACTTGACATACCTAGAACAATTGTTTGGAGATAAGATTAAGCATATGTGCTTTAATATTTTATCACTGGATTTGCAGTAAAACATCTTTGTATGATCCCTACAATTTTACTCTGGGTGGG